ATTCTGGGACTCCCTCACGTCCAAAGAGGTTGCTGCTGAAGGCATAAGCCGAAGAGAAAGCCTCCCACACTTCACTAGAGAGCAAGTCTGGCAACCATCAGTAAACCTCCTTTCTACTTATTTTGTCTGTAACATGACAGATCTGTCTAGTAGGAAACATTAATTTCATTTATGCTATAGCACATGTTGCCGTGTTTCAGGAAGGTGACCTCATGCCTGAAACAGGAGATCACGTATAGTAGATGGAGCCAAAGAAGGGCAAATTAAGGTTGTGGGAAAGTCAAGAACAAAAAACAAGACATAAATACTGTAGAACAAGCAATCTCAGATTATCAGAATCTATTGCTTTATTAATTTGTCATATTAGCTACTATGACAGAACAGTGGGAAGACTACAGGAGGAATGATACAAACAGAATGCTGTTTGATATTAAACATATTCATTAGTTCATTTAACTCAGTATTATCACCACTGATGGCAGAGACTCAAGTGTTTTTCCCAACCCCAACTACGAAAGTTTGGGACTGGAATAAAGTAATGAAATTACTTTAGTTTCACCAAATTAATACAGATTCTTTTAATAAATTCCTACTAAGAACTTAAAAGTTTTTATAACACAGCTATAGTAGAGTGGAACTTCAATAAACAGATGCCATCTAGATATTTTTACCTCCCCTCCAGCTTTCCTGAAAGCTTTTCCATTTTTAAAATGCCTATTGCCTTCTAGAATTTATTCTCCTTTATTTTTAGGAATTACATTTATTGCCATGGGCATGTATTAATTGTTCCTTCAAGAACAAATAAAAAAGCCCAGATTTTGAGTTGCTCCCCCCCCCAAAGTACATATGAATAAGATTTATTTACACTTATTCACATATAAAACTGCCTTTCATTCATCAAAAAGCACCTCCAACAACCACCTTATTCTGTGCTCCTGGATGATTATACTAAAATCATATATTTATAACAGTGACTGGAACAACAGAAATATTAACCTCTGAAAATAACATAATTCAAAATCTTTCTTCTTTGGCTGGTTGGATGTGACTCAAAAGGCCCTATAACCAAGATCAGAAATATAAAACATTGAAGATGGAAAATATAAACCTGACACCTTAACATCCCTCAGTCTGTAGGATAATCCTCAACATCACTTATCTATAGCACACCAGATGCTACTTCTTGAAATAGTTCATCCTCACTCTTCTAGGATAAAAGGCCTTTGATTCTCAAGGAGGAGGAGGAGGAGGAGGAGGTGGCAGGTGCAGCAGAATGGGCTAACCCAGGGGAACTTCCTCTTCTCTGTTTTAACACCTGTCTTTTTGTTTAGTCTGCTTCATCAACACATACACAGATGCAGTTGAAATGAAATGCACAACAGTGCTAGTTAGGATCTTTGGCTGCCAGAATTTTCCATTAAAAGCTTCTTTAGGTTAACACCATATTATCTGTTATTTTTGCATGTCATTTCTGGCAGTCTTACAGTTTACTAGAGCACACCACTAAACATTCTAAAATCTGCAAAAAAAAATCTCTTTCTATTTCACCAAGAGCCAGGATCTGTAGAAATTCACTTCGATCTCTCTTGAGCTTCTGAGTGGAAAGACTTGTCTGTCCTTCTCTGAATTTGGCTTGCGTATGATTTGAAGAAGTCATATCAGGCTTGAACAATGTAGATAATCGCACACGATAATTCAATCTTTCTTTTCCCCATTTTTTCATTACAAACTTGTGACACAGAATGGAATGAAAGAAATTTCATTTTTAGAAAACAAAATTAAGAACTTGGATAACCAAAAAAGAACACAAGAGCTACAAAATAGGAAAATATAATAGTTGGGAATAGATGTACATGAATGTATATGTGATCTTGGAAATACAATGAACTTATTATTTTTGTTAATTCAAAATAACATTTAAACATCCAGAATTAATCTTATAGGGAAAACATTATTAATATTGCTTTCATATTTTGCTATTTTTAACCTGCATTGAACCATTATTATTTTATTATCTTAATTTTTCTACCCACAGAAAACAGGTTTTTGCTCACTTTTGAATATCACTTTAGTGATATTAATGAAAGATTAACTTTATATTTTCAGTGTTTTCTATAACATCCAAACAGCTAATTGATTGTGTTACATCAATTTATATGCACAGGGAATTTGAACACAGAATTCACTGAAAAAAAAGATTGTTGAGCAATCTTCTAATTTCTTCAAAATCTTTCCACTTAAAACACTGCCCTCTGAGCTTTGCCACTAAAGTTGGTAATATGGACCAATTTGTTTACACCTCCCACTAAGACAATCTAAAAAGATTACAATTAATATAAGTTAATGTTAATTGAATATGCTATCTATAGATTATTGTCCATAGTTAATTCTTGATGATTTGTTGAAATAGTTTTAAAAGGAATTCAATTGCACAGAATGTTGTAATAAGATTCATGAAGATCAAACCCACATTATCCTTCCTGAAATATTTAAGATTTTCAAGGGGCCCTCTTGTTTTATAAAAGTGCTATGAGATTAATTTTCTATTTTAAAAAAGTAGACATACATTATTCTGTGACTATTTTAAGTGGATTTATTCAATTACCTACATGTTTTATGAAGAAGGATGCAACTATTACATTTGCAAAATCCACTCATTAGTCAAAAAATTGGGATTTATTATTAAACCATAACTGTATAAAATATTATCTCTTTAAATTCCATGATTTTTAGTAATTTATAAACCTGAAACTTTTAAACTAGTAAAGGATATAAGTTTGAAGGCAAACATTGTCTTAATTTTTCCCAGCCTCTAGAGTAAATTTTAATATGGTTTAGATGGCAGAAATGTTCTTTTTTACTGTCAGAAAGGAACAAATACATTCAGGAAGCTAACAAACTGGTTTGGAGACTGATAGCTTCTTCTGCTTTTTCTCTGTTTCATTTAGTATATTGCAATATACTCTAGCCATAATAACACAGTGACCTGCACTGATTCTTCCCTCATCCTTCAATGCCCTATAATTATCATCAAATCTGCTTTATTGTTTGGGGAACTTTTGGAAATGTCTGAAGGTGCTAGTAAGATACACTTTTCCACTGGGGAACCTTTAGAACTGTAATCAAGAAATGCTCTTGGTTAGTGAAAAATAAATGAGATCCAAGTCAATCAGCAAAAGATTGTATCAGCTGCAATTGAATTCTAAACAAAAATATACATGTGAGGACAATAAAAATAAAATCAGAAATACTTAGACAGTGTTTGATCTCTGTTCAGAAGCAAGGCAGAAGTTCTAGAAGATATGGTTTGAGACTAAAAAATATTTTTAAAGCTTGAGTGTTGTACAATTTCACTACTCCATCCTTACACCACCCTTTTAGTTCCTTCATTCTATACCCGTGGTGGCGAACCTATGGCACACGTGCCACAGGTGGCACACAGAGCCCTCTCTGTGGGCACGTGCGCCGTTGCCCCAGTCCTAGGCCTTCAGCTGGGTTTTATAAAACCTTTTTGCTTTAGGCCTCCGCCACCGTGTGCAAAAAAAAAAAAGTTCAATCAATCCATCAGTTTCAACTTCTTGCGGGGGGAAAAAAAAGATCTTGCAAAGTTGGAATTGATTGATTGAACTTTTTAGTCCCACCCAGTCTGCCGTTACCACTGCAACCATGTCCACCCAATGGGCCACGCCCATCCAGCACCCGATGATATATAAGTGGGTTTTGGGTTGCAGTTTGGGCACTCAGTCTCTAAAAGGTTCGCCATCACTGTTCTATACTAAGCTCATTTTTCACTGCCTCTATCTTTGACTATTTTTAAAAAAAATTTGACTCCTAGTGACATCAGGCACCAATTATCTTGGTAACAGTGAAAAAGTGGTTTGTCATTGCCCTCTTCCACCATATAATTTTTAAAATATCCATTGAAAACCTTCTCTTGGAGGTTAGAATTGTTCCAGAGAGATGTAATTTATCCCCCAAAGTCAGTAAACATAATATACATTCATTTGCATAATTTATTCTGGGGCCAGAACTGAAAGTGTGGACCATAAAATTGATTTTATATGTCTTCAAAAATGCACAAACTTATTGGCTTTCAGTTCATAATTTTGACAAAGCACAGAATCATTAAATCAAAGCTGAGGATATGAGAGTTATTCCATCAGTCTATCATGTCTTCAGTTTATCAGCTGGGAGGAACTTTAAGTAACTGACAGAAGCATCAGACAATTGGTTTAATAACCTTAATAACTATTCTTAGTATTTTATGCAAAGCAAGGATATACATCATGCAATCCCTCTAACAGATCCAGCTAAATCATAATTTTTTAATGTGACAAAAGGAGAAATTATTAGGAATTACAGGAGAAATAATTATATTAACTAGTTTTATTTATCTATGTAAAATTTTAAGTTCAATGACTTTGCTCAGCCCCTGCCTACTTTTTTAGAGCACAGTCAAGGCAGGCCATTATAGCAGGGGCATCCACAGAGAGCTCAAAAAAGTCAAAATGGCAGGTGTGACTGCACAGTCAAAGACTCAACCCTTAACATGCATCACACATGCATTAAAAAGCAATGGGATTTTGAGTGCATGGTCATGCCTGCCATCTTGATATTTTTTGACATCCCTCGATGCCCCTGCTCAGCGTGAAACAGATTAAGTGCTCCTGGAATTTTGCATATCCAGGGAGTACCACTTACCGGTATATTATCTGAGTAAGGTATTGTAAGGTAGGCCAGTGTTATCATCCCAGGAGTTTAAAAAAAAAGAGGGAAGAGTGACTAGGGAAGAGCTATTCACTGAGCTCATATGATGATATTTCCTTTCACTTCTTCTGTTTTCTCTTTGTTTCTAGATTGTTGGCAAGGATTTACCCTCTTATTGTTGAAGTAGCCCATCTACATGGGTGATGCTGTATAATAATAATACAAAAAACAGGACCAGGTCTTCATTCGCTGTTCAGTCATTCAGTCACAACACTGTACTAGCTCATCATGGGTTCAGCTTGAATGGAGTATCTGATTTTAATCAATTAACATAAGAAAAAGCAGAAGTACAAAGTACCTAAGAACAATTGTTAATATTTTAACCCAAATCACTTTTTCCCATATTTAATTTCAATAGTCCTGTGCTGAAGGTAAAACTATTCCCATCACCCGATCAGAAACTTTCTTCTTCATTGGTCAAAAGTGGCTTTTTCTACTTTATCTACAAACTGTAGGATGTCTGCTGCAAGGAGCTCTGGTTCCTCAAAAGCTGCAAAATGACCTCCTCGAGGCATGAAGTTGAATGAAACGATGTTAGCATACTTCTTTCGAGCCCATGACCGAGGAATGTAAAAGACTTCATTGGGAAATGCGGCGATTCCTGTGGGAACTTTCACAGGGAACCTGCAAAGCAATGACATAATTGAACAATGAAAGCATGCCCTTCTCCCAATAATATTGCTTTCCTAAACCACAAGCAAAAAATAAAAAAGCACAGAACATAACCCTGTCTACGCTAAGACAACTGAACTGAAATCAGTAGGATTTATTTCCAGGAAAATGTGCCTTAGTGAAGTGAAGTGAACAAACTGCAGTTTCCAGATGCTCTTCAAGTTCAGTTCCATGTAGAGGGCATTATAGTAATCCCTGGGGATGACTAGGGCATGAGTAACTGTGAATGGAGCCTTATGGTCCAAGAAGAGGTGCAACTAGCACATAAGACAAAGTTGTGCAATAACTTTGTACAACTACCTGTTCCTTAAGCAGGAGTTAGGAAGACCCCCAGACTGTGCAGTGGATCTGGCAGTGCCAGACCCCATCCCAGTACCAAAAATGATAAAGTCTCAGAAGGCCCAAAAACCCAGAGCCACTTAGTCTTGCCAGGGTTCAGTTGAAGCCTGTTGTTTCTCATGTTGTTTCTGAGCTCCTCAGTGATTACAGCAAAGAGGTTTTTTTTTACAATCACACATAAGATAGGTGACACATATATGGTAGAGGAACAGACTTCAGACATTGTACTAGTATGCTGGCTAAATTAGGAATGCCTGCTCCAGAGCAAGAACTCCAAAACAGAAATATGGGAATCACTTACGTCTCATGTTTTTCAATGCCAATACCCTTCCCCAAAAGTTCTTTGTAGAAGCGCATTGAAGAAACCACACAACCTGAAGTCCAATAGATCATTATATTCGTGAGAAGGTCATCCAGAGTGAACTTCCTGAAAAAATACAATTGATTTATTGCAATTAATCTCTTTTCACAAGCTGTAGCTAGTACAGCTCACAGGAAATGTTGCCTTCTGACTTTACTCTGACTCATAATAACAGGCTCCTATTGGGTTTCGGCAGCCTTTTCAGGCAGTACAATTGATATTCCTCTTCGTCTCCTGGCATTCAAAGCACCACTAGCCATCATACTCTTCCTTAACTGCTGTACTCTTGAGTTGTTAGATTTAGCAGAGATGGCCAAATTGACTGCTTTGATCAAAGAAAAAAAATACAATTACTTTTGTTTCTACTTGGAAACCTCTTCTGGACTTTGTGCTTGAGGTAGAAAAAAATTAAACTTTGATTTTGGGTTTTACCAATTAATAAGTTTGTTGTGATAGAAATGGCTAGTTTATATTATTATGTAGAAGTAAAAAGTTGAGGTTTGATGCTATTATCTGATTCTACTGCACCAAAGGGAGTCGGAAGTCAATGCCTTTTCTTGTTTTTCTCCCTTTGCCCCACACTTTTCCCTTCTCTTTTCCCTCCCTTATTTGCCTATTATTTTCTTTCATATTTTTGTATTTTATATTATAACCTAATAAACAATAAACAGAAAAAGAGCTGTTAGATTTCAGCTCCCATAATTTCAGGCCAATATACTAATAGAACTGAAATCCAAAATTACCGGAGCATCCCAAATTGGGAATGGCATTTTCAATATGAAAATGAAACATGTTGAAGACTTCTGTCTTCTAAATATCCTAAGGCTGCTTTTATGTCTTTGGAATCTATTTGGGATTTGTTGCCTTTTATGTTAGTATAGCAGCTGTATACAATGGGGAAGCCTTCTTCAACTTCCCATCTGGGTGTTACATTTATCTTGCTTGCAAATGTTGTCACTTCATTCATTTGTGATCTTTAAAAGTTATCTTCCCTGAGAGAGTAAAATTGTTATATGGCTAAGCCTTTAGGTGGAGTGCCTTCTCCCACCTATTTATCCTCTGACAACTTTACATTCCAATTTCCCATTTGATTGTACAGACCAACAAAATATATCTTGGCTTCCTCTAGATGGGCAGGAATACAGCTCCCATCATCCATACTTAAGATCGCTAACTGGCAACTAGCTATTGTAGTCCAACACATCTTTGAAGTCCTAGAGTGGAAAAGGCTGCTATGCAAACCTATCTGGGAATAAATCCCAGTGATTCTACTTCAGGTGTGGATGTCCATAGCATTTGGTATAAAAGAAATGAGAGGGCAGAAATGTCACTTATAATGACTTTGACAATCACATTACTCTTTTGGGCTGTGATTTGCAACATCATTTTAGTCACTGCTGTTTTCTCTCCAGAATGATAAGAGCAAATGAGTAGTTTGTGACATTTATTATTCATGAACTGAATCTCATCGTAGGCAATTAATAATATATTAGCTAAGAAGATGACAAAAACATGAGCACTTACTGCCTATTAATGCTGCATCTGTCATTCAATGCAAGGAAAATGCATTCAAATATTTCTGAACTGTACTCACTTTTAATAAACACCCTAATAAACCTCATCCCCTAGTGCCCCATTGCTTTCAAGGCAAACTACAAGCTACTACCATCCCAACCATTTTTTTAAAATTAAGGTTTGAATGAAATGAAATCATTTCATTTCATTTAAATCAATTCATTTGAAACAAAATCGTAAGATTTTAAAAAGAGAGTCATAATCCTTTTGCTTTCAAGTGCTCTGGGTGGATTCTAGCAACAACAGAACGGAACGGAACGGAACGGAACAGAACAGAGTAGAATAACTTGTCACTTTGAATGTACACTAATCGGCATACATTAATTAATGTGTTAATAAGAAGTTGTCAGATAAATTATTTGTTGGCATCCAAAATTAATTTGACCCTTTAGGATCTGGAATCATGACCTATGGGCAAACATGATTTCCTCATGATTTTTTGTATAGCTTTCAACCCTATGTCAGCAGATCTCCTTACTTTAAATAAATAAAATTGACTCCTAATATTGGTTGTTGTAGAATGCAGGTCAGAGGGACTCATTCCCTTTCTGTGAGCATATAGTTGAGCAGAGTAGAATGGAACACTAGATTAAATGGGCTTACCTTATTTTGTTAAAATAATGTTTTAAAATGTTTAAAGAATATCATAGAACCTTCTCCTTTGCAAGAAGATTTAAGCCAGCGGTTCTCAACCTGTGGGTCGCGACCCCATTTGGGGTCGATCGACCATTTCACGGGGGTCGCCAAGCAAGGCTGTCCGCCATTTTTTCCCCTTTTCCGGCGGGTGCCTTACCTCCCTTGAGCTGGGCCAGCTGGTGGTCGGCCTGCTCCGTCTCTGCCGCTTGCCAGCTACGCCTCAGCCGCGCAGGGGGCGGAACCACGCATGTGCGGCGCTCCCGGGCAGGGAAAGTCCTCGACTTACGACCGGTTGGGTAGTCCTCGATTTACGACCGGTTTAGTCCTCAACTTACGACCGGTTTAGTCCTCGACTTACGACCGGTTGGGGTCGCGGCATTAAAAAGGTTGAGAACCACTGATTTAAGCGGAGAGATTCCAAGAGGATTTTGTGCAATGTACCTGATCTATTGCTAAACCAAAGTTTCATCTATCTCACCATGCTGTAATATTATTAGCTCTATAATTTGCAAGTGAGTGCACAATTTATAAACAGCTTTATAGTAGGGAAGAGCAATCTGTACTAGCCCCGAGACAATCAATGTCCCTTATTGAATTTCATGGGGCATCAACTTGGAAGCTGCTGAAGCAATGCTTCCTATTCATTAATTATTTAAAATTAACCATATTTTAAAAATTAGCCAAGTAGGGCAGCAATACAATGCACAGATACCTTATAGCTATCCCTGACTCCACAGCTTATGCCCCAGGAAAGCTGCCCCACAAATGAAAACTAGGTTTTGCACACTCTAAGTTCAGCTTAGAATTAAGTTGGAACATGGAAGAGCCAAGTATTTCTGTTCTATAGAAGCTCTTTTTTTCCAGTTCAATAAAATTACAGTCATCAGCAGAACTCATTGCATAATTAGTCCTTGGAGGAGCATTGTGGAGCTGCTAAGCCTTCGGCGTTTAAGCGTCTGAACACGTAGCAGAACAGCATAAAATAAATAGATACTATATTATTTGGGACAATTAAAGTCAGCTAAGGTACACTGGGGGTGGGGTGGTAAATAACATCTACTTTTCTAGTCCTCCATCTTCTAGCTTTTTAAAACTGCGATCAGTCCATGTAGAAAATTTCTCCAAGATGTATGCAGCCAATCCCACAGGCGAGTCATTCAAGCCACAGCCTAGAAAAAAGAGAAAGTGGTGAGTTTCAATTTAGGTAACTCTCAGATGCTACTTTTCCTGATATTATAATGGAAAGTTTTCCTTTGAAGGTGTGTGTGTGTGTGTGGGGGGGGATTGCTGCCTAGGAAATTATTAGATAAAAGAGTGAGAAGCCCACAACTGAATAACAGGCAGAAAAAGAAACTTAGAAAGGATTCACTCTAACTTATCAGGTGGTAAAAAGACACAGTGGGAGATCTGTACTTTCAAATCATTAAACAAGTCTGAAAGGGGAAATCTTCCACTATCTCTTTTTACCATTAGTAATGATTTCATTACTAATTAAGCAAAATTAGTAGTAGCATCATCTTGTCATGTTTCCTGTTACTCTACTTGAGAGACTGATGGATACAATTTACTGTCTTCAGATGCCATTTATATGACAAGGAACATTATGGGAGCAAGAGCATATATCAAATACTCCAAAAGAATTAAGATACTGCATACTGTTTACCAACATTAGCAGTTCACCATATAATCTAAGGTTTTAATAAAGGGAAAAGCACCCCACCCCCAGTTTAAGAATATTCCTGGCAACCCACTTGCATCATATTAACTATAAAGCTAAGTCAAGACTTGCCCCTGCCTTGTCTGGCTGCCAGCTTTCCCCTGAAGGCAGAACTACTACCATGAGAAAATGAAGCTCATTGTATAGTATAAAGAACGGTTGCTGGAACTGGGTATGTCTAATTTAATGAAGAGGAGGATGAGGGGGGACATGATAGCAGTGTTCCAATATCTCAGAGGCTGCCACAAAGAAGAGAGTCAAGCTATTCTCCAAAGTGCCTGAAGGCAGGAGAAGAAGCAACAGATGGAAACTAATCAAGAAGAGAAGCAACCTAGAACTAAGGAGAAATGTCCTGACAGTTAGAACAATTAACCAGTGGAACAACCTGCCTCCAGAAGTTGTGAATGCTCCAACACTGGAAGTTTTTAAGTAGAGACTGGATAACCATTTGTCTGAAATGGGTTTCCTGCCTGAGCAGGAGGTTGGACTAGAAGACCTCAACTCTATTACAGACCTCCAACTCTATTATTGTTATGTTATGTGTTTCTCATCTCTTTCAAAGAATGCTTCAATTGGATGGATGGCAGTGCTTCTATTCATATATACTAGCACAGGTGGCTAATTCATGGCTAATTAATCACTGGAGGCCCCAGTAGTTATCCCGAGAGCTCAATAATCATTGGAGGTTCCCTAGCCTCTTTTGTGGAGAAGGCGAAAAATAATCATGGTAGCAGACACAATGATGCATTTGAAGGCCCACCTCAGCATATCAAAAGGACAGGGCTTTGATTGCATCATTGCAGACATTTTGGGGATCACCCCCTAGCAATCATCCATTTGTCAGAACCCCCAAGACTACACTTCTTTTATTTAATGTCAAATCTTTGAATTACAATGATGCAATTTTCCAGTTAGTTATAAATATCAAAATAGGCTTAAGATGTTTATTTTACTATTTTTAAGTTCTTCAAAAGTAGAAGGGGTAGGCTAGGGTCTTGAGAAATCTCAGGGCAGATGTAAGCACATAAACAAATATATATGTGCACAAGCCAAATCCTCTTTAGTTTTCTAAGGAATCACAGCCAAGAGTCAAAGAAAAATTGTAAAGGTTCCTCACAGAAAGAAATGATTTCAAACAACTTATAATAAAAGTATCACAGAAGAATGTTGGCATGATACAGGATGAACTTCAGAAGCTTTACCTTAGAAACAAAGTAAGGAGTGGGAAAAATAGGTTAACTGAACCCACAGAAATTAATCTGACAATATCTAAAGATGGTAAAGGCTATCAATTGATATTTTCATTTTATGCTATGAACATGCACATCATTATCAGCTTCACACACAGCTATGCAAAAGCACACTATAGATTGCATGTACAGTGTTAAGGTAGAAGCATGGGCAACTGAATTTGGGAGGCAAAAATAGAAGAAGAAACCATAATTATCAAATTAGGCCAGCCATATTTTTTGCTAGGAAAATACTTGTTTAATGGCTCAGACAGTTATGAATTATCTCTATTTTCTTTCTTGATTGCCAGAGGTATATGAGAGGCATTTGAGAAATGTGACTCATCATCCTCTCTGCTATCAACACATGAATATGACCATATTTACACATCTCTGGATGTGTCCTGACAATTTGGAGAGAAGCAAGGGCACCCAGTGATGTGCAGATGTGTGCTTGTCCCTTTTGCTGAGAATCATATTTCTTTATTTCACTGATTTTGTCATCAGCCCCAATCATCATACTCTGGGCAACAATCAACAGAGTGAAAATACAGAATACAGGTAGTCCTTGACTTACAACCACAACTGAGCCCCAAATTTTTGTTGCTAACTGAAACAGTTGTTAAGTGAGTTTTGCCTTATTTTACGATCTTTCTTTCCATAGTTGTTAAGTGAATCACTGTATTTGTTAAGTCAGTAGGACAGTTACTAAGTCAATCTGCCTTCCCCATTGACTTTGCTTGTCAGAAGGTCTCAAAAAGTGATCACATGACCACGGGACACTGCAACCGTCATAAATATGAGTCAGTTGCCAAGGGTATGAATTTTGATCATGTGACCATGGGGATGCTATAATATCGTAAGGGTGAAAAATGGTCATAAGTCACTTTTTTAGTGCCATTGTAACTTTGAACGGTCACTAAATGAAGTGTTGTAAGTTGAAGACTACCTGTACAAGAAGGCAGACATTACAATGAATAGAAATCCTCCAGCTGGTTAAAAGCACAGTGAATCTGTGTTGCTTCCCATGAGAAAGGAACAGATCATACAGGGCCACACATGACTTTTGCTTCTTATTAATGCTAACACTGTGAGCCTTCATCTTCATTCGCATATTTGCAAATAAATCAAATATGACCAGAAAGTTTTAAGATACTACTTAACTACAAGAAAGTCCAAGTATCCCAAAAGTGCTTTTTCAAGAGGCAACTGGACTTTCTTGTTTTTCTTTGAAGATGTTTCACTTCTCATCCAAAAAGCCTCTTCAGCTCTGACTGGATGGTGGGGAATGGAAGGACTTATACTCCTTGCAGACAATTGGTCATCTGCATTCTTTTAATGCTTTTTTAAAGTTTCTTGGATGAAAAGCAAAATGTCTTCAAAGAAAAACAAGAAAATCCATTTGCCTCGTGAAAAAGCACCTTTGGGATAACTATGACTTGGATGACTGAGAATCTCCATACACATTAAGTCCAAGTAACAATTTCCTGGAGGCTTCTTGTTGCTTAGGAAAACATACAGGTAACACAGTAACATCAAGTCTCCTTTTGAGTGAACTTTGACTCTGCAAATATGCAGAAATTATTCTGTTTTCTCCCTGGTTTTTATTTAAACCTCTCAATCTAAACTACACACCTGGGATTTTACCTACCTTCTAACTAGCTTTGACCCTGTTTAGCTTTTTGGTTTAGCCAAAGTTGGCTAGATTAGATCCTGCCATCTAACTGTAATTAAAAAAACCCAAAGTGCATTTCCTGATTCTATAAAGGCTTATTTGCAAAAACAAGCACATGCAATGTTCAAAGCAAAAGCTTTCCTTACCCACAGTGTCTGGCTTTGTAGTGTGAAGGTGGAGATAGCCACTCTCCAGAAGAATTCTATTGAGCACCTTTTTTTTTGAAAGGAAAGATTTGTTGAATATCTTCTGCCTGGAAGCCAAATAGTCCTGGGAAATATTGTCCCAATAGAATGGAGAGTAGCTGCTTGAAACTCATAGTGCTCAGAAATACTATATTTATGTGAATGCCTTTCACGTGGCTAAAACAATTGTTTAGAAAGAAGTCAGGCACTTTAACAATAACATTGTGGTTTGTTCAAATTCATACATTTATGTCTTATAATTATTCACACATAATAAGGCACATTTGATTTTTTGGGATATTAGTAATTACAGATGGAAAATAAATCTTCCACAACTGAAGATTTTTGGGGACATACTCATGTGACTCTCAGCAATCCTTCTTTAAGGTGGTACCTCTAGATGTGATAAGTTACAACATCTATCAACCCTACATAGCATGACCATTGGCTGAAGAAGATGGGCCCTGTGATTCAAAAGTTTGAGATGATGACTTGGAAAGGCTAGTTGTTTAAGAAATCAGATGTTCAGTTTATTGGCAGGCCATTATTGTTCTCAGTAATGCTTTTTCTCAGACCATGTCCATTGATAGATCACTGCCTCTATGGCCAACTCCTCCTTTTAATCAAAAGTATATCCCAGACAAAAGAGGCTCTCTTACTCTGCAGGGACCTCTTGAACTGACAGCTGTGCGCTAGAGTATTAAGATGAGGATGAGATAAGAAGCCCCATGGATATTTCAGTTTCTGTTCTCATTATTGACCACATCCCTCCAGTGTAACATCTGGCAAATTCTATCCTCTGTGTATTCTTGTCTTTATACAATCATTGACAGTTAAGGTTTTCCGAAGTCAGCATTAACAAGGTGCACCAAGCACCTTGTTAAGGGATATTAAAAATACAATGCCAGTAGATATCCATGCACGGTCATAAAGGGACAGAAGACAATAAAGGAACTAATATTTTTTTTTTACATACAGATAATCCTCGACTTATGACCCATCACTTAGAATTGGGCCTTTCAGTTTTACTTCTTTCTTTTTTCACCTTTTTTGTGAGGAGCCTCTGAGAAGCCAAAGCCAGGAATGGAAGGGCAAATCATTTCAAAAACATGGTCACCATTCAGGCCATGGTTTACAGGGTCAGTCAAAAAAGGGATAATTTTGTATAGTTCATACACTGAGCCAGGCCAACCATGGATCATCAATAAAGGCTTAGCAGACTGCCCTTCAGACAAGCACGGAGGTTTTATATGAAGAAAATGGACATCAATTCCTACAGGAAGAAAACATAGACACAGAATCTTCAGAAAATAACTAAATAGATGTATATCAACATAATATAATTTTCTGAGAGCCAATAGAGTGCTGGTTTGTGCCCTGTGGAATTCATTCTGTAATTCTCAAAATGAAATTCACTGCAGCCTGAAACAATGGCCTCTCACTCTCAAAGGTTGCTGGAGACCAAAAATGTGGTTTTAGTTTCTTGAAAGAACACGGATATCAAAGTAACAAAGTAACAAAAAAATATCTTGAAGTATAGCAAGATTTGAAAATGATGGCAAAAATGTGTAATTTGTAATTTTAGAAACTGAACACACAAGGAAAGCATAGCTGATTGGGAGGGGGGACGACGTGTATCTCTAACTGTCTAATATAAATGAACATGCCATAACATCTGCTTGCTAATGTTAGCAAGGTACTAGATCAGGTTAATTCAAGACAGAGTTTCCAAAATAAATACTGAAAACTTCAGGTGTTTGTACATTAGAATACAGAGTGTGGGAAATAAATAGGGAGGATTAGAAATGGAAAACAAATATGATGCAGTAGCAAACACAGAAATTTGATGTGATGATACTCACATTTGATACTCAGCACCGGAAAGCTATTTTATTCAGATGAACCAATAGAAAGGATGCTGTTACCCTCTTTCAGGATAGTTTTTGAACTTGCAAGCTACTTCCCTCTAAAATAAGGGAAAGCAATACATAATTTGCAAAAACATCTCACATTAGGAATTTATCCTAGATTCTGCCTGGCTTTCCCAATAAAACTACAGTTTCTAGCCTTAGAAACAGGTTGGAAATTTAAAGTACTTGTGGTTTGCTGTCTTTTCCTCTAACGAATCAATCATCTTCTCCTTATATGATTTAAATATCAGAACTATGAAATGCTTCAAACTTGAGTTCTGAAAAGCTATTTCAGAGCCTACGAGAATGAATGCAGTATCTGTTGGCAATTCATTAAAACAGCCAGGTGATCCTGCAAACAGATGTTATTACCTTAATGAGTGGTCAACAGACACTGCATTCACATTCTCATACGCTCTAAAGAAGAAACACAAAGATTTTTAAAATATTATTGGATAAATCTGAAATCTATTCTTAATAAAATGAACCCCAGCTACATTCAACTTTATTTCAATAAACATCAAACAAAACACTGGAACATTCTGAGATTGTGTAAACATAATTTGTCTTTAATATATGCACAAAGAATGGATTTCCTTAATATCAATTGTTCTGAGATTTTTAAAACATAAGCAAAGTGAACATTATATTTTAAATAATTTTGGTTTAAATAGTCACTACTATCTTGGGAATTATGAATTATTACTATTTCAAATTTCAAATAAATATTCTTCAGAGAAGGCATTATTCAAAAAGTATTTTGGTGTACAGGCTTTCTTCAGTTAGTCTTCCCAGAATTATTTCACAAAATGAACAGAGTAGTTTGATATTGCATTGTTAGTAAATATGATGATCTAAAAAAGAAAAACAAAATACTGCATTTTTTACTGTTTTAAAGAATACCAACTTTTTGTTTTTACTCTTTTTTGCACTCATGGTCAAAATATGGCCAGCTTGCACTTTAGACAGTATAGGAAAAGTCAGTGCTAGCAAATTTCAGAACTCAAGCTGAAAGGTTAATTAAACAAGAATTTCAGCTTGCTTTTGCTGTTCGCTGCAGGTAATGTAACAAAAGATCTTCACACAACAGATTTAGTCTCAGATTGGA